GGGGGAGTGTAGAGTGGGGACCCAAAGCCCATCTATAGGCAACTGAACATCTCCTTACAGAAGTGTTACGGGGAGGAGATAAGCCAGTCAAGGTGCAGTGTAGCAATGATGAAACATGCAACTTTCCTCTAGTTCCTAAATGCTTCCTCCCCACCCACTATCATGATCCAAATTTTACCTAACAAATCTGGCTAGACCAGAGGATGTACACAGGTACAGATAGGAACTGGAAACAGGGAATCCAGGGCAGATGATCCCTACCGGATTCAAATACTAACAACCTTCTTCAAGGAATTGGAAAAAAACTGATCACCAGTTTCATATGGAGAGGAAAGAAGCCCTGAATTAGCAGAGAACTCCTCAAGAAGCAGGACAAAGTTGGAGGATTCGCCTTACCCAATTTTAACACCTATTACACAGCTACAGGGCTCAAAACATCATGGTCCTGGCACAATGACAGATACTCAGACCAGTGGAAAAGAATAGAAAGCCCAGGAATAAAATCATCAGCATATAGACAACTTATCTTCAACAAGGGTCCCAAAAACATCAAGTGGGAAGCGGGTGCCCTTTTTAACAAGTGGTGCTGGCAACATGCAGGAAAAATGAAACAAGCCGTTTACCTCACTCCATACACAAGAATAAACTCAAGGTGGATCACAGACCTAGAAGTAAAACCTCAAACCATCAGGACCATCAAGGAGGGAATCGGGACAAACCTAAGATCATTGGCCCAGGGAATTCATAGACTCACTGCAATAGGGAAAGGCACACACATAAATGGGATATAATAAGAATAAAATAAGGATTTAATAAGAATAAAACACCTGTGCACCTCAAAAGACTTCACCAAGAGGCTGACAAAGACAACCCACAGACTCAGAGATATTTTTGGTAATGACACATCGGACAAAGGGCTCATTACTAAAATCTATAACACCCTCATGGCCTGCAAAAAGAGGAAAACAGTTAACCCTATAAGGAAGTGGGCAAAAGAACTTGAAAAGAACTTTCACTAGGGAGGAGACCCATATGACCAACAAGCATATGAGAAAGTGTTCCCGGTCATTAGCCATAAGAGAAATGCAAATTAAAACAACCATGGGATACCACCTAACAACCCTGAGGCTAGCCCAAATCAGAGAGCAACAAGTGTTGGAGGGGTTGTGGTGAAATAGGAACCCTCCTCTACTGCTGGTGGTCGTGTAGATTTGTACATCCACTGTGGAATGCAATCTGGAGATACTTAAAGAAAATGGAAATTGATCTACCTTATGATCCAGTCATCCCTCTACAGGGCATATACCTAGAGGAGGTAACAAATAAAACACAACCAGTCATCTGCACTCCAATGTTCATTGCGGTGCAATTCACAATCTCAAAGACTTGGAAACAGTCTAAGTTTCCATCCATAGATGAGTGGATTAGCAAACTTTGGCACGTACACACAATGGAGTACTATGCAACACTGAAAAGCATGGACAATCACATGAAACACGTCGTTTCATGGGAAAAGTTGGAAAGAATCATGTTAAGTGAGGTAAGCCAATTTCAGAAGTACAGGTATAACATGAGCCCCCTGAGGTAAGTACAATCGGCATGGCAGGAATAGAAGAATAGACACTTATCTCGCAATAAGTGGGGGAAAGCATAGGTAGTTGGGGGCAGGGCAGATCACACCCAGGGAGGTACATGTGAGTCCAACATAAAGAGACTTTGCCTCTCCTTTCATCAAGGTAAAGCCTATTTCCCCATGTAAGTTTGTTTTGAAGGAGCCCTGGTGGTGTATTTAGTTAAGCATTTGGCTACCAATTCCAAGATCAGCAGTTTTAGTCCACCAGATGCTTTGCAGGAGAAAGAGGAGGCTATGTTATTTTATAGTCTCAAAAACTTTGGGGAGCAGTTCTACTCTATTTTATAAACTGGAAAACCAAACTCACTGCCATTGAATTGATTCTGACTCATAGCAACCTTACAGGACGGAGTAGAACTGCTGTATGGGTTTCCAGGACTATAAATCTTTACAGGAGTAGAAAATCTCATATTTTTCTTGTGGATTTGCTCATGGTTTCAAACTGCTGCCTTTATGTTTAGCAGCCTATCATGTAGCCCACTACACCACCAGGACTGCTGATGTATATTTGAGGGTCCTCATAAGTCAGAATCAACTCAATTGCAGTGAGTTTGGATTTGGGGAGTTTGGTGGCACAGTGGTCAGTGGCATTACTAGGATGATGTCACCCAATATAGTTGTTTATGGCATCCCTGGACCTCCCTCCTATACCAGACCATACAAAAGCCTTAGAAATATTATCTATCTTTAACCATAGAATAATATGTGATACAGTGTTAAATTGCTTAAATGTGATATTTTGTAAATTACATGAATACTAACAAAATTGTTTTGTAATTTTTTTCTACATGGAGTTGCATCATTAATAACTGAGCAGAGGCCTTGTTTATTTTCTCTTTCTTTTCCTTTGCTTACTATTACCTCTCAAAATAAGTATACAGATTCACAAATACTACTTACCCCAATACTATTGGTAATGATAGTCAATTTTTCTGATTTAGCAACAAAAACAACAGCAGGTACTTACAGAATGTACAGACTGGTCAGGTAAAATCATGTAACTTGAAGTATCATTATAATTGGGCAATTATGACAGCTCCGATTTGAGTGCATTAGAAGACTCAAAACGTAAAACTAGCATAGAGTTTTGGCTTTGTGAGCATATTGGTACATGTGAAGTGGGCTTACAGTGCTTGCTTCGACAGCACATATACTATAATTGGAACAATACAGAAAAGATTTGCATGGCATGGCCCCTGTGCAAGGAAGACATGCAAATTTGTGAAGCATTTCACATTTTTTCATTTAGTAAGAATTTCTATGGATAATGGAATTCCTTCCATGTAGCAACCCCCTCCAGTTTGCTAAAGGTTACTTGAACATTATTTTAAAAACACTTTATTACAACCAGCTCAAGACAATAGACTGGATAGCTTTTCTAATCATTTTCTCCAATAAAAAAAAGAAAATGTTCCTATATCTTTGGTGCTCTAAAATGCCTTTTTATCAACATGCTCTTTTGTAGTACATCAGTATTTTTCTACATTCTTTAAACAAAAAGAGCATTTGGCTACAAAAAAAATGGGTTGGCTGTGCATTATTTTTCACATTACATTTTGGTTTTAAAAGCTATAATATGTAAAAGTGGCAAGAAGAAGAAAAAAAATTACCTTTTGTTATATAGCATACCCACTTTGCTTTACCATTAGAGTGATTGAAAGAGGTGTCTAAACTAAGCCAGTTTATTTAAATATTATTGCAAAGATCCCTTTATGTAGGGGGAAATTATTGACAGAATACCAGATTCTTGTAAATTCAACTTGTACATGGACATTCTGCAAACCCAGCTGTCACTGTATTCTTCTTGTACCTCCTTTAATGAAAGCATACTAAAATGTGTGTAAGGCAGTGAGTGAGTGTCAGTGAGTGAGT